TGCCAAGTGGAGACATGGCTCCTAACACTGTGGTGCCAAATGGAGAGATGGCTCCTAACACTGTGGGGCCAAGTGGAGACATGGCTCCTAACACTGTGGTGCCAATTGGAGACTTGGCTCTCAACACTGTTGGGCCAAGTGGAGACATGGCTCCTAACACTGGTGCCAAGTGGAGACATGGCTCCTAACACTGTGGTGCCAAGTGGAGACATGGCTCCTAACACTGTGGTGTCAATGGAGACATGGCTCCTAACACTGTGGTGCCAAGTGGAGACATGGCTCCTAACACTGGTGCCAAGTGGAGACATGGCTCCTAACACTGTGGTGCCAAGTGGAGACATGGCTCCTAACACTGTGGTGCCAAGTGGAGACATGGCTCCTAACACTGTGGTGCCAAGTGGAGACATGGCTCCTAACACTGTGGGGCCAAGTGGAGACATGGCTCCTAACACTGTGCATGGTGCCAAGTGGAGACATGGCTCCTAACACTGTGGTGCCAAGTGGAGACACGACTCCTAACACTGTGGTGTCAATGGAGACATGGCTCCTAACACTGTGGGGCCAAGTGGAGACATGGCTCCTAACACTGTGGTGCCAAGTAGAGACATGACTCCTAACACTGTGGGGTCAAGTGGAGACATGACTCCTAACACTGTGGTGTCAATGGAGACATGGCTTCTAACACTGTGGTGCCAAGTGGAGACATGGCTCCTAACACTGTGGTGCCAAGTGGAGACATGGCTCCTAACACTGTGGTGCCAAGTGGAGACATGGCTCCTAACACTGTGGTGCCAAGTGGAGACATGGCTCCTAACACTGTGGTGTCAATGGAGACATGGCTCCTAACACTGTGGTGCCAAGTGGAGACATGGCTTCTAACACTGTGGTGCCAAGTGGAGACATGGCTCCTAACACTGTGGGGCCAAGTGGAGACATGGCTTCTAACACTGTGGTGCCAAGTGGAGACATGGCTTCTAACACTGTGGTGCCAAGTGGAGACATGGCTCCTAACACTGTGGGGCCAAGTGGAGACATGGCTTCTAACACTGTGGTGCCAAGTGGAGACATGGCTCCTAACACTGTGGTGCCAAGTGGAGACATGGCTCCTAACACTGTGGTGCCAAGTGGAGACATGGCTCCTAACACTGTGGTGTCAATGGAGACATGGCTCCTAACGCTGTGGTGCCAAGTGGAGACATGGCTCCTAACACTGTGGTGCCAAGTGGAGACATGGCTTCTAACACTGTGGTGCCAAGTGGAGACATGGCTCCTAACACTGTGGGGCCAAGTGGAGACATGGCTCCTAACACTGTGGTGCCAAGTAGAGACATGACTTCTAACACTGTGGTGCCAAGTGGAGACATGGCTCCTAACACTGTGGTGCCAAGTACAGACATGACTCCTAACACTGTGGTGCCAAGTAGAGACATGACTTCTAACACTGTGGTACCAAGTGGAGACATGGCTCCTAACACTGTGGTGCCAAGTAGAGACATGACTCCTAACACTGTGGTGCCAAGTAGAGACATGACTTCTAACACTGTGGTGCCAAGTGGAGACATGGCTCCTAACACTGTGGTGCCAAGTAGAGACATGACTCCTAACACTGTGGGGTCAAGTGGAGACATGACTCCTAACACTGTGGTGTCAATGGAGACATGGCTTCTAACACTGTGGTGCCAAGTGGAGACATGGCTCCTAACACTGTGGTGCCAAGTGGAGACATGGCTCCTAACACTGTGGTGCCAAGTGGAGACATGGCTCCTAACACTGTGGGGCCAAGTAGAGACATGGCTTCTAACACTGGTGCCGATGGAGACATGGCTCCTAACAATGTGGTGCCAAATGGAGACATGGCTCCTAACACTGTGGTGCCAATGGAGACTTGGCTGTTGTCAATGTGGTCTCGAGTAGAATCACGCATATTGAATAGCTTATTTACATAACAAAATATGGCATTGTGAAAAAAATGTTCAGTGTTTTTTATCTTGACACAGATCTTGTGAAAGTGAAGTTTTCAAAATATCATTTAGCTGAGATTTTAGCCGGGTTTATGAATTCCCATCGTGGCTACCAAGCCAATTTCTCACACAAAAGTCGCCGAAGCAGTGAAGCATTCAGTTTAGAGAAAGCAGCTACTGACATAATTGTACTCCTGTTAACAGAAGGTGAGAATCGCACAGAATTTACTTACTGTAAAATACTTTATTTTCGCTGGAATTAATTTTCGCTGAAAAGACATTTGGGGTGTTTTGTATGGTATCTATTTTCATTGATCTTTGATGAGTTGAATGTAAAATATATGAAAAAAGGTATATTCGCTGGATTTTATTTTCACTGAATCATTCCTTCAGCGAAAATAGTGAAAATTAATTCCAAGCGAAAATAAAGTATTTTACAGTACTTAAACATATGAAAGTTCAAATTATGACTTCAAAATGTTTGAATTCATCTAAAAGTAGTATCATTCATCAACATCTTGGAATGAGTCAACTCAAACATATCTTATGTCTACCAGATTTAAAGACAAAATATTGAGGAATTATTTATGAAGCATGAAAAAATAATTCTGAAATTATTCAATTTGTTGTCATGGTGATCAATTGTTGTTTTAGATGAAAGTATGAACCTTATTTTTAATAATGGAAATGGACAAGTTTTAAAGGAAGTGATGATATGGTTACAGTCACCTAGCAACCAGAGAAAAATATCTGGTGCCTTAGTTATTGGAAACTTTGCACGAAGTGGTAAGTTATTAGTTTATATAGCATCCTAAACCTTTAAAATGTTCACATTTTATTAGAATGTTGTCAGTTTCTAGTGAGTTATATTCATTAAAGCAGCATGACTTGCACTATTCACTGTTATTTGTTAATCCTTGTAAAGCTGCGTCAAAAATATCATAGTTGACTTCGTAAACACATGATATGTCATGTGATATGTCATGTGACATGTATTTATCCCGGTATGATAATAGTATGCAAATTGCTGGAAGATGAATTTACATATTTATATGGTTAACCACATATATATTCCCAGTGCTGTTTGCATTAAGTATAGCTTAAATTTCTTGACATTTAAACACGTTTCATACAACAAAGGAAATCTTGGCTCTATTTTCATGGATTAAAAATTATCAAAAAATACAGTACATATCTCAAATGTCACACCATATTTGTTTGGTTCAAAATTAGAAATAAGAACTAGAGGTTGGTCATGTCGATGTTGCTATCTTCACTGCTCAAATGAAGTGAACTTGTTGCAAAAGTGAAATTTGTACATGCAATTTTTTTTTTTCAGATGAGCACTGCATAAAACTGGTTGAATGTGGAGTTCTGAAACCATTACAAGATGTTTTACAGACACCAACTGGCTCCACAGAGACAGACATGAAGTTACAGCATGCTGTACTCAGTGCTTTTAGAAATCTTGCTATTCCAGGTAAGAATAGTCAATTTAAAATGAAATTAAAATTAAAAAAAAGTAGTCATTTTGCAAGCCTTTGAATCATGGTTAAAGCTGAAAACAGTATCCGTTCTATAAACACATCTGTATGATGGAGTAGAGGTATATGTAATAACAAACTACAGTGAGTTGTTCTATGGTCGTATAAAAATGAAATAAACTACATTAAGATACAGTTAACCAACTAAACACAGTACAATACAATACGATACAATATGAATATTCACGTGTTATGAACCTATTGCCTAAGTTTAACAATACATGGACAGTGGAGAATGCCCTGTGTCACATTCAGGATAATGAGCTCCGCATTAATCTATAACATACTATTGTCTTGGCAAATATTGCAATTTACGCACTCACGTACAGAAATGCACAACCAAGTTTAGAACACGCACAGGAGCCAGGAGTTTCATCCTCTTGGTGGATTATCTACAAACATACG